CATTCCAGCTGCTGGCTGTGCCATTCCAGCTGCTGGCTGTGCCATTCCAGCTGCTGGCTGTGCCATTCCAGCTGCTGGCTGCCTGCCACGCCACTGCTCTTTGCTCTGCCTGCAGGACACAATCCCGGGAATTCCGGGCTCCGCTTTGCCCGTTTCCTTCTCGCCGCGGCTTTTCCTCACTGTGCTTCCTTCCTGCTTTTTCTCCCGACCCGCAGGAACCCCTCCCTCAAGCAGCAGCTCTTCTCCTATGCCATCCTGGGCTTTGCCCTGTCCGAGGCCATGGGGCTCTTCTGCCTCATGGTGGCCTTCCTCATCCTCTTCGCCATGTGACGGCTCCGCCCGCGGCTCCCGGCGCTCCGGCCTGGCCACTGGAGCCTCCTCCCATCGCAGCGTTCCAGACTGACCACTAAAGAAAGGATTTCTCTAAATAAACTGGTGGCTTGGTTTTTGGTTTGGTTTTTTTGGGTTTTTTTTTCTTTATTTTTTAGTGTTCCGGTCCGGTGGCGGGGGAGTTTTCGGGGCTTGGTTGAAGGGTGTGATATCCCAGGTGTGGGGTGAAGCAAACAGGGAGCGTGGAATGGTGTGGGAGGGGGCAAAAACTGAGGTGAAGTCGACTAAAACAGCTCAAATGTATTAAAAATCCCCAAAAGTGTTGCCCTTTTAAAGCCAATCTTGGTGAGAGAAGGTTGGGATTGGATAATAGGGAGAAATTCTGTGAGGGGCTGGAATGGATTCCCAGAGAAGCTGTGGCTGCCCCATCCCTGGAAGTGTCCAAGGCCAGGCTGGATGGGGCTGGGAGCACCCTGGGATAGTGGGAGGTGTCCCTGGGTGAAACTGGGTGAGCTTTAAGGTCCTTCCAACCCAAACCATTCCATGATTCTGTATTTTTACCACAGTCTGTTGTTGGAAATGCTCCCTTCCTTTCAGCTGAAAGCACCTGGAAGAGGTGCTGGATGCAAGGTGAGGGTGCTCACAGGTGTGTTAATGGTGTTTGCAGGGCTGAATTCCCAGGAAGTGCCCACGTCGTGGGAATTTCCTTCCTTTCCCAGGAAGAGCCGGTTTCAAGGTCACGCTGTTCACTGTTCATGTGCCTCCTCAGGGCAAAGTTTACCCAAGGAATCACAGCTGATTGTGATAATCCATTAATTTATTAAAACAAATCCATTGCTCCATTAAAACAATGCACTAAACTGCCATTATTCTATTAAAATTAAATTGATAAAATAAAGAGCTGAGGGGGCTTTGTTGGTTTTTTTTTTGCCTCCCCCCTCCCCACAGCTCCGTGCTCCAGCTGTTTTAGAGACTGGAGTATATCAGGGAGGAGAAATGCCCAAATCCACCCCAAAATCTGGGCCTGGGGGGGAGGCAGCTGTGCCTTTAAGGAAGGGGAGCCTGGAGGGAGCTTGTCTCTTATCTGCTTTAAGTAATTGAATTAATGCAGCTACTCCTTGTCCTTAAAGCCTCTGCAGAGGGGTGGTGACCTCCCTGGGCACGGGAATGGGGTACAGGAATATGAAATTCTGTTTGGAATTGCTGCTGGGAGGAATTCCCTGCGAGGGGAAGGGGGTGAGGAGAATTTGAGTCAAAAAAACTCCGAGACTTGGAGAAACGTGGCTCTGAAACCAGAAAGAACTCGAGGGAAACTCGGCTGAATTAGAGAGGAAAAATTCTCTGGGTCCTGGGAATAAATGTGTAACCCTAAAGCAGGGATCCCGTGCCTTGGGAATCTTCCCAGGGTGTCCATAGGTTGTAGCTGGCACCCAAACCTTGCTGCCCTGGGAAAACAACACTGTTGCTGGGGCTGCCTTAGTTACATTTAAACTCCCTTACACGTATGGAACTGGGTAAACAACTCCTTGGATCCCTGTAAAGCGAAAAGTGACCTTGGAGCTGGAATTGCTCCCCCAGCACATCCTTGCTGTTCATCCCAGGGTGGTTCTGGGCAGCTCTGGGGGGGTTGGAGGAGTGGGATGGTCCTACAGGGACCACGGGCACAGCTGCTGGGTTCCTATGAGCTGGAAAAACAGCTTTTCCCCCTCTCCTAGCCCTTTGATCCAGCTGTTTTCCAGCCCTGAGGCTGCTGGGTTTGGGATCTGAACCCTTGGGAGCTGCCTGATCCCACGGCTGCTCCTTGCTCGGAGCTCAGACCTTTCCCTGAGGCGTTTTCCCAGCCCAGCAGCCGCTTCCCTAAAGGGTCTGTCTCTTCTCCCTAGTAACAGGATGAGAGGAAACAGCCAGGGAAGTTTTGGTTTGGATATTGGAAAAAAATTCTTCATGGAAAGGGTGTCCAGGCTTTGGAACCAAGTGGTGGAGTCACCGTCACCGGAGGGATTTAAAAAACCTGTGGATGTGGCACTTGGGGACGTGGGTTAGTGGACTTGGCAGGGCTGGGGAATGGCTGGACACAGTGATCTTAGAATCATGGAATATCCTGTGCTGGGAGGGACCCACAGGGATCATCCCGTCCAGCTCCTGGCCCTGCCCAGGACCCCCCAAAATCCCACCCTGTGCCTGAGAGCGTTGTCCAAGCACTCCTTGAGCTCTGGCAGCCTTGTAGCCGTGACCACTGCCCTGGGGAGCAGAGACCTTAGAGGTCTTTTCCAACCTGACTGTTTCCATGACTCCAGGATTCCATAAACCCCCCCTTCCCACCCCAAAAAACACCCCAAACCCTCCTTTCTCCCTCCACCCCTTGAGACCTCCACCACGCCAGGGGGCGCCGTGTCAAGGAAACACCAAGGCTCGCAACGAGGCGGCGCTGCGGGAGAGCCGCTCTGTCTCGCTCTCTATGGTCCGCCGGGGGCGTGGGGCGTGGGCGGTGCGGGGCCGCTCTGGCCGCGCGCCTCGGTGGTGCGGAGTCCCGGAAGCGGCGCGGGCCGAGGCCGCAATGGCGGAGAGCCCGGCGGCCGAGGACGCGGCCCCGGCCCCGGCCGCGGTGCTGGGGACGGGCGGCGGCGGCGGCAGCGCCTCGCCGAGCGCCGCCGGTTCCGCGGGCACCCCCGGCGTCTTCATCCCCGCCGAGCTCTGGGCGGCCGCGGGTTTCGGCGCCGCCGCCGCCGCCGCGCCCGGCACCGGCGTGGCCCCCGCGAGCGGCGGGGCCCCGATGGCGGCGGCGGCGGCGGCGGGGGCCGCGCTCCTCACGCACTCGGCCTTCTGGGACCCCACGGTCAGCGGGGACTGGGACAGCGAGAGGCCCAGCCCGGCCTGCCTGCTGCGGATCAAACGGTGAGCGGGGCCCGGCACCGGGGGGGCTCCGGGGCCCGGACCCGCCGGGCACGGAGCGAGGCTCGCGTGTGGAGGAGACGTTCGGCTCGTCCCCTCGGGGTGGTAACGGTCCCCTTGGGCCGCACCGGACCGTCACCGGCCGGCCCGGAGAGCCGGGATCGGCTCCCGGTGTCCCCGGGCTGCCCTGGGAACAGATCCCGGTCCCTCCCTGTGTCCCGGGGCTCTCCTGGAGACAAGCCCTGGTTCTTTCCCTGTGTCCCAGGGCTATCCTGAGGACAAGTCCCGGTCTCTCCTTGTGTCCCAAGGTTTCCCTGGGAACAGACCCCGGTCCGTCCCTGTGTCCCAGGGCTCCCCAGGGCACACAGTCCAGTCCCCACCATGCCCTGGAATCACAGAATCCCACACGGGTTTGGGTTGGAAGGGACCTTAAAGCCCATCCAGTGCCACCCCGTGCCATGGGCAGGGACACCTTCCACTCTCCCAGGTTGCTCCAAGCCCTGTCCAACTTAGCCTTGGACCTCCCGGAATTCCTGGCCTGGAATCTCCTCTCCCGGGTGTTTGGGCCAGGGTGGGTCTCACCCCTGCCAGCCCCGGGGTCCCTCTGTGCCACCCCTTGGGGTCTCTGTCAGCTGCCCTGGGGGGTTTGGCAGCAGAGCTCCTAATCCTGCCCTCGGGATCCCTGGCAGCTCCTGGGAGGTGCCGTTACATTTTGGGGGGGAACAGATTTTTTGGTTCCCTGGTGACCAAGTTAAAATATTCACAGCAAACCTGCCCTTCACCCTCCTCCTTCCTGCCAGTGCCCAGGGCTGCCCTGACCCCTCCAGGGATCCCCTGGATCAACCTGTGGATCCCCTTTGCCAGAAGGAGCAGGAAGGTCTGGTGTTGTTGGAAACGCTGGCGCTGATTCAACAAGTCCTTCCTCTTCCCTCAGAGCAGGAATTGCTGCCTGCCAGGCTCTTGCTCATCCTTGTTCTGGAGCTTGGAGAATGTCTCCCAAAGATGGCTCCAGATTTTTGGGCAGTTTCCAACCCAGAGCAGGCAGGGAGGGGAGAGGCTTCTCCTGCTGCTCTCACCCTCCTCACCTTGAAACCTCCCCGAGCTCTGGTCCCTTCCCAAATGGTAAGGAAGGTCGAGTGGGAGCTTGTCCTGAAGCTCAGCACAGCTCTGATTACAGGAGAGAGGGTTTGGGTGACGGAATTCAGCAGTTTGTCTGTCAGCTGCACGGGGTTGTAGGTGATTTGTTGGGTTTTGGTTCATTTTGGGCTGAGTTCTTGGAGAAGGGAGGCTGTTGGGATCAGGTTGGGGGGTGTGTTGCACCCTGACTGCTCTGGGACCTTCTGCCTGATCCATTAACCCCAAATGGCTCAGAGCAAAACATTCCCAGAAGTGGTTGAGTCATGGCTTGGGAAAACAAATGAGTGAGCAGAGAAAGGGATCCTGTAAATGGTCTGGGTGTGAAGAGGGAAAACCTCAAGAGGGAGAGGTTATCCCTTAAATAACAAACCTCACCTCACAGGACTTGAAAACAGCTCCCTGGGGGGGATTTCTGGCTGGAGTTTGACGTGCTGGAGGTGATCTGGGGTGAAACACAAGTTAATCAAGGTGTGCTGGTTCATTGGTTGCTGCTCCTGAAATGCCTCAGCGATTTTTGGGGATGAATTGAAGGAACTCATCCAGAAAACTGTCAGAGCCAAGGGAAAACCGTCTGTCTCCTTACAAATGACAAGTTTCCACCTTCAAAGTCTGTCCCTTGGCACCCGTGCAGGGATTTGTCACCCAGCCCCACCGAGGGCTGGGGAACACCGAGGGACACCTTGACTAATTCCTCTTTCCTCTCCTCAGGGATATCATGTCCATTTACAAGGAACCACCCCCAGGAATGTTCGTTGTGCCTGATCCCCACGACATGACCAAGGTGAGGGGTTTGGAGCTGGTTCAGCTCCCTGCTGCTCTGTGTGTTGTGTCCGTGGCTGCTGGGAGGGTTTCCTGAGTGGAATATTCCCTTGATGTTCTGAGGGGAGTCAGGGTGAGCCTTGCAAGAGCACAGGGCTCCAGTTTTCCTGGTGGCACCGGGATGGGATGCATTAAAATGGGAGGAGGCTCCCAAGGAGACTGGCTCTGTGCAGAGGTACCATCCTGGTGGGCTGAGGAGATTCCATGGGTAACCCAGCTCTGGTTTGGGGGTGCTGATCCAGCTTGTTTCATCCCACTGGTGCTTGAAAACAA